TATTGTTTTATTCTGAAGTCCTATATTCATTTAATTCTTTTATTTTGCTTGGTTTTATATTACTTTGTTTTGTTTCATTTTATTGTGTGTGAAGGTATGGACAACTATTTCAAAGAAAATGAGAGACATTATAGTAGCCATCATTGATTGCCTGTTGTCTTGTTGTGAAGTCCTGTGTTGCTTGCATTGCTCTGTTCTGATTTGCTTTGTTTCATTTTGTTTTGTGTGTTTTATTCTCTTTAAAATAAAAAAAAATTTAAAGAAAAAATAAATAAGATGCAAGATATATCATGTACAGATATGAATTCCCTGTGATGAATGTCATCACTGACAGAGTTTTGCCCTAGGATAAATTACAGGACATTATGGCAGTGGAAGGCCAAATTGGGATGTTTACCCTAAGCTCACTTCCTTCTTCCCTTATTACAACTTCCTTTTTCCTTTCTCAATGCACATGAAGAAAATTCCAACCAGCTCCTCACATGTCATCAATGCCCATCCTAAGCACCACCCTCAGTCAAAGGTTACATATACCCCTTACCCCATATTCAGGGTAGAGGAAAAACCTAGACCACTCTTGGTTACAGGCTCCTCTCTATATCCTTAGAATAAAGGCCACTTTTACTTTTATATTCTGTTCCTTTATTGCGCCAAAAAACTCTAACATTATGGTGCTGAAACCCGGAATGGCAGAGTGAGGCTCCTGGGAGTCAAGCTCCCCTGCTGACCTAGGGACTATTTCTCAGAATAATTTCTCCTTTCCGTGGAAGCTGTTCAATTTGTCGCCATCAGCCTGCATACAACATTATCTCACTTGTCACGGTGAGCCATTTTCCACCAGAGGTTTTCTGTTTCTGAGTCCAGGCCCATGCTGGATTATCCATTGCTGTCCCTGGACTAAGATAGCAGTTCTCATGTTCTGTGTTCCAGTCTGAGGCAGAGCTGTTACTCTTGTCCTCTGGGATCCCAACCATGTTTTTTGGTGATGGCCAATGAGATCAGGTTGGAACCTTCCTTATCACGCTTCCAAAATAGGTGACGACTTCTTTTGACAAGTGTGATCCTGGGCAACTTTCATGTTCCTTGCGGGGAGCTGAAGCTCTTACATCCTGAGGCAAAGTTGTTCTTTTGGCTCACTTTTAATTTGGTCATGGGGAATACTATTTCCTGTCCCCCAAAAAACTCAAACAATCATAATTTGTACCTAAAGTCTACCAACAAAATCTTTAAAAAGTGAAAAATAAAATAATGAAATATCATAATGGAAGCAAAATTACTACAAAGCTTATACAAAAATCAATAGGATACAATGAAAGCAGTGCTTGGAGGAAAATATGCAGCCTAAAATACTTGCATTGGGGCTGAGGATTTAGCTCAGTGATGTAAGCATCTGCCTTGCAAGGATGAAGTCCTGAGTTTGATCCTAGGTACACACACACACAGAAAAAAACAAACAAACAAACAAAGAAAAAAAAAAAAAATACCGGGGCTGGAGGTTTAGCTCAGCGGCATAAGTGCCTGCCTTGCAAGCAGGCAGTCGTGAGTTTGATCGCTGGTACTGATAAAAAGAAAAAAGACAAAAAAAAAAAAAAAACACTTGTAATACTTGCATTTGAAAGAAAGAAATTTTGAAAATTAATGAGCTGAACATCCAAATCAAATTTTTTAAAAAAACGACAAATGATCCTGGCTTCAATTCCCAGCACTAGGAAAAAAATCACAAATGAACAAACACAAAGAAACTAGCAAAACATTATTGCCCTGATTTAAAAAAAAAAAAAAAAGAAAGAAAGAAAGGAAAATTACAGCTACAGTTTTGCAAAAATGTAAATTCAAAAATCTTCAATAAAATACTAGCAAATCAAATTCAATAGCATAATAAAAGTATTATAGAGCTGGCCTGCATTACTTGAGTGTTCTACAGAAGACCACTGATCATCTGCCACAAGGATTGAATCTATGAACTCATGACCTCACACTTGCCAAGCAAGCACTTGAACCACTGAGCTAAATCCCTGGCCCTTACACATTTTGAAAACAGTTAACAACAACAATAAATACAATTGGCTGTCAGCTCCAGGTGTACACCATGTTATACCCTATGTCAAACTGGAATTCATAGGAGATATGAACAGAAAATGCTTTTGCTGATACCTATTCCATCATTTACTGTGTTGTCAAAGAATGAGGTCTGACTCATTCCTGATCCTGGCTGGGACCCAATAGCCAGGGACAAAATTGTCCATGAAGTTGTTCCAAACCAGTTCCATCCATGGAGCACACACTAATGTGGTGAAAACCCCTGCTGGTTGACTGGCTTGGAGGGGAGAGGCCAGCATATGCTACCTCTGCTTGCACCTCAGTGATCAACAGCAAACTGGAGAGGGCAGTAATCCCCTAGCCAGCATGCTTCAGAAGAACCATAATCAATACAGAAAGGGACTGGGACCTCCACCATACACCTGTATGGAAGAAACCAGAAACATGCAAGAGAAAGAAATAAGAAAAAGCCTCCAGCTCCTAACCCAGGGAATATGGATTCAGGAGAGGGTAAATACAGAAGAGATTGAGGGCAGAAAACATGCAATACTGGACACGACATCAGCTGACAAAAAGAAATATCTTTGTGACATTATAGATGAACTCAAAACTGAAATACTAATACAAGTAAAGCAAGATATAAGAAACTTAATACAAGAAATGCTAAGTTCCTCTCAAGAAGACACAGATGGAAGAATGGAGGAGCACAGAAAAAAGGAAAACCTTTGAGGAAGGATATTTTTAAAATCTAGAATTCATTAAACAGATTCAAAGAGATTATCTGGAAATTAAAAACTCCATTGAAAGCTGGAAAAATTGCCTGAAAGAAACTGAAGATAGATTAACAAAATTTGAAGATAGCTTTGCAATGTGTGATTGTAAAAGGAGAGACCTCTTAAAAATAACAAGGAAACAGGCAGTACAATACAAAGGCTAAGAGATGACAGGAGGATCTATAACTTAAGAATAAAAATGTGAGTGAAGAAGCAGGGGTAAACACAAAGGAAATACAAAGGCTATTCATAGAAATAATTAAGGAAAACTTCCTAAGCATAGGAAAAGAAAATGATATTCAGATGATTAGACATACAGAACTCCAGCCACCTACAACCAAAAGAAATCTACACTCAGGCGTATAATAATCAAGATCCCAGAAATTCATCACAAGAACAGAATATTAAAAGCAATCAGACAAAAAGAAACAGATCACCTATAAAGGAAAACCCATCAAAATCACGACAGACTTCTTAACACAAACCGTGAAATCAAGAAGAGCTTGAAGCAAAGTATTCCAAGCCCTGAAAGAAAATAACCTCCAACCCAGATTGGTGCAGCCTGGAAAACTGTCTCTCAAAATTAATGGAGAAACAAGATGCTTCCTTGACAGAGGAACTGGGGGAGTTCGTGACCACCAATCCAACCCTACAAAAAATACTGAAGGACATTCTAGAGAGAGAAAAAAAACACCAGAATTTCAGGAACAGTGACAGAGAGGCCTCAATGAACAGGGCAGATAGTGGAATAAAGGAGAAAAGTAGACAACCAATGGCAGAAAAATAGCATAGCAGAGATGAGACAGAGAAGCTTGACTATAATCTCTAACATAGATGGCCTTGATACACCAACAAAAAGAAACACATGCAAAATAGATCAGGAGATAGGGTCCATCAAGTTGCTCTGTATAGGAAATATAATTAACCTGAAAGAAGGTTCATGAACTGAAAATCAAATATGAGAAAACAATGCTCTATGTGACAGGGAACCAGAGAGAAATAGGGGCAGTTCCTCCAGCAGCTGCAGATAGATTGGAAGACATGACACTTCTGTTCAGTGGAGAACTACTTAGCTAAAATGAAGGAAAACCTGGAGGCTTTTGTAGGTAAAGGAATACAACTTAAGGTCAAGCCCAGGAGTAAAAAGGTTCAGAACCACTTAGGTAAATAATGGGTTGCCCCCCTAATCTAAAAACTAAAGGAGTTAGTGGGACCCAAAATATACAATGTACCCTGTGAAAATGAAAGGGAGGAATTGTCTAAAACAGGAAGGCAGAGGACATTGTTAATAGTATATCAAGATTTAAAATCCACATTATTCTCATTTCTCTGTTTAGTTTGATTATATTCTGTTCCAGTCTGTCTACTTGTACTATATTTGAAGGCACAGACAGCTATTCCAAAAATAGCAGGATATTCTATGGTAACCATCCTTAACTTCCTATTAACTTAATCTGAAGTCCTGTATAACTTATGCTGTCTTACGACTGATCTTATTTGAATCTGTTAGATTGCTGTTTTGTATTGCCTGATTTTATTTGAATCTGTTATGATTGATAGTATCAGGTCTGAGAGTCTCATAGGCAAATACTCTGTAGATGACAAGATTCACTAGGATACCCACTCTGGTATTACCTGCCTTTGAAGTCTTATTATGTCTCCAATGTTTTGTTTTTATTAATATTGTTATATACTGCTATGTTCAATTATACTATTACTGATGATATAGACAATTCTATTGAAGATAACAAGAGCCATCATAGTAACCTTTGTAGATCACCTTGTATTGTGGTTTTATATGTCTTTTTCGTTTCGTGTTTTTCTAGGAATTTGTTTTGTTGTGTCTTGTTTTGTTTTTCCCTCTAATACAGAAAGGATAGATATACATATAGAGATTTATACACACATAGAACTTTTAAACAGTTTGTGAGAATCAATTATATAATGCATGATGAAATAAACAACTGCTTTGAAGAAAAAGAGACACTAAGGTACCCAGCGCTGGTTCCATAGCGTCATGATGTGAAATCCAGCAATACTATTCTTTGTTCAGAGTGATTTAGTTTGTTTTGTTTTGTTTAATTTCAACACACATGAAAGTATGGACAGCTATTTTGAAGACAATGAGAGATCTATGACAGCCATTGTTGACTTCCTTATTGTCTGGTATTCAAGACCTAAATGCCTTCATCATCTTGTTCTGATCAGTTTTATAGTATGTTGTTTTGTATGAATTCCCTGTATGTGAAGATATGGACAACTATTTGGAAGAAGACAAGAGACAATATGATATATAATAAAGATCTCCAGTTGTCTTGCTTTGAAATCTTACATTGTTTTCTTATGTTCTGTTTTGTTGTGTTTAATTTTACCCTCTTTAAAATAAAATTTTTAAAAGTGTGGCCAGGCTTGCAGCTGAGTTTGTGTTCAGTGTGAGCAGGGGTCGGTGTTGCAGATGGGATGGATTGGAAGGCAGCTCCAGGACACTGGCTGGAGGGGGCTGAAGGCAGAGAAAGGTGCCTGGAGCCTGTGGAGCAGGCAGAAACCTTGACTGGAGCTGCTTAGGTCCCAGTGCAGTGACCCTTGAGGGCTCCTGAGCAGAGAGGTTGGGCAGGGCCTCCTGCCTGCCAGAGAGCTCCAGGGCTCAGGCTGGCTGCAGCAGCGGGGTCTGGATCTCAGCTGTCTGAGAGGAGTGCTAGAGTGTGGGAAGGGAACAGTAATGCCGTGCTTGGTGAAAGACATGGAAAACTGTAGTTCAGCATCTCTATGGGTCACTCATTGAGATACATGCAGCCAGTGTTTCTAAATATAGGACTTTATTGGGGACCCCTGGAGAAGGGGGTGCAAGAAAATAACCTCAGCTGGCCTTCAGGATGTCCTTAACCCAGTTCACAAGTGCAGTGACTCGAGAGAACACAGCAGGAATGGAGGGAGAGCAGGTATTGCTGCCCCAGGACACGATGCCTACCAGCTTCCAGGCTCCATTCTTCTGGCACACCAGGGGGCCGCCAGAGTCACCCTGCAGGGAGGGAGAGGGGCTGACTGTCAGCCTGAAAGGGTGCCACAGCCCAAGATTCCAGGGTCAGGAGAGGCAGAAATGGGGCAGAGGGATGACAAGGGTGGGCACAGTGGCTCTGTACAACTGACTTCCATCTGGATGCCATGAAGTCCTGCCCTGCCATCTACTCCCGAGGACCCTGTGCTCCCGGGGCTGCTGTGAGGACTGAACTAAATGGGAGGTCCAGCATGGACGTGGCCACAGGACCCGACTCGGGGGGCCTGCTAGTAAAGGAGGCCAGGGGAGAGCCCAGGCCTGTGTGCAGGTTCCCTGTGTCCCTCCTGATTCACCCCAACCATACCAAGCAGGGGGAGACACCACTGCCCCCAGCGCAGATCATCGTTTCTGTGATCTGGTCGCCATAGTACGTCTTGCAGTTATTGGTGCTCACGAGGGGCAGGACACCTTGCTGCAGCTTGCTGGAGTCCTCAGGTGCTGCAGGGACAGAGCCATGGGTGAGAGCCCCTCTCCCCACCTGGACCCCATCTGCTCCCTCCAAACTAGAGAGACGCCCTGCTGGGTGCCCACACAGGGGAGCAGGCAGCTGCTGAGAGCTCCTGTCTAGGGCTTCTTCACAAGCTGTCTGTGAAGTGTACCTCAGTGAGCCCTCGGTTTATTTATGCGTGGTAGGCTTTTAACTTTTTCTTTGCTCTTGGTTCCAAAATAATAATTGTATATTTTATAGATTTTTTTTCTTTCACTTATGAGATAGGGTTTTTTTTTTTTTTTTTTTTTTGTCTTTTTCCTTTTTGTCGGTACCAGGGATTGAACTCACGACTGCCTGCTTACAAGGCAGGTGCTTATGCCACTGAACTAAACCCCCAGCCCTAAGATAGGGTCTTTCTAAGCAGTTCAGGCTGACCTTGAACTCACTATGTAGGCTAGGCTGGCCTTGAACTCCCCGCAATACTCCTGCCTCTGCCTCTGTAGTGCTGGGATTACAGGCATGTGCCACCACATCAGGCTACTTCGTAGATTTTTAATTTTAAAAAACCATTTGGGTCACACATGGGGATTCCTGCTGTCCAGGAGGCTTCTAAACCCAGTGGGAGCTCCTGCTGTGGAAAGGCTGAGTGACACTCACGGGAGAACCTTGTCTGGCCCCAGCCAGTGACAACACATGGGGTCTTCGGATGGAAGTGGTCAGTAGCAAAGGGCAGGTACACGGGGGACACTCTCTCGGTGAACTGGGCAGGTGTGGCCAGCTTTATCACTGCAATGTCGTAGCTTGCTGCCTCGTTGCTGTAGCTGGGGTGTGTGAAAACCTGAGGGTGACAACCACACAAGCCCAGTGAGGTCTGGAGCAGCCGAGATTCATCGCTGAGGGACAAGCTCCTGTCCTCTGGCCTGATACCTTTTCAATCTGTAAGAACTGCACGAACTCATCAATAATGTTCAGGTTGTATACCCCAGCCACCACCACATCAGAGGTGCTAGGAACAGAGACAGGAGGGGTAAGGAACACAACAGGCCACTGACGTCCCCACCCTACCCTGGAGCTTGGAGCAGAGCCCAGGCCACCTGCTCACCTGACCTCGCAGTGGGCTGCGGTGATCACCCAATGCTTGGAGATGAGAATGCCCCCGCAGTAGTGGAAGCCTGTTACATACTGGGAAGGAAGGAGAGGAGGGTCCCAGCTGCTGCCTGAGCAGCACCCCAGCCTGCCCAACAACCTGGGGCCTCCCTCCCTGCTTGGAATCCCCATCTCACCTGCAGGGACACCTGCCAGGGCCAGGAGCCAGGGACCGCGTCCTCGCCACCGACAATCCTGGCCAGGTCACTCAGCACAGGCTGGCTGGCTGGGACCCCGCTGTCTGAGAGCAACGTGAGGGAGGGCTGGATCCAGTCTGGGCCTGACCCCCAGCATTGCAGAGCTACTGGTTCCCACCTCAGCCCACCCAGCCTGGCTCAGGATCCCCACTCCACAGCCAACTTTACCTCTGCAAGGTCCACTGGCTTCTAACCTCTGGGCTCAAGGCTCCCTCACCTGCAGCCTGCTGACCCCAGTCCTCTTCCACAGGTGCAGAGGGACTTGGCTGTCCCCACCTGGGCCTGCCCTGCCTTAGGAGAGAGCAGCTGGACCTCAGATGGCATGGGCTCGACCTCTAGGTGCCCCTCCTAGTTGTGTGGCCTTGGACCAGGGGCTCCACGGTGTCCTCAGCTGTTCAGTGGGAGCAAAACAACACTGACTCCATAGGTCAACATGCATCTGTTGGACTGGTGGGAGCAGCATATGTAACTCATTCCTGTGACCCCCATCCTGTGTCCTCCAGCCAAAACACTAGGCCGACTCACAGCACAGGGCCTGGGCAGAATTCTTCATTTCTGCGGAACCTCACCATTTCAGCATCTACTGATCGCATACTTCTTGGGTTTCTTTTTTTTTTTTTTTTGTCTTTTTCCTTTTTTATCGGTACCAGGGACCGAACTTACGACTGCATGCTTGCAAGGCAGGTGCTTATGCTGCTGAGCTAAATCCTCAGCCCCACTTCTTGGGTTTCTTAATTATGAATGAAGTAGGACTGTGATTCCACATCATAAAAGGCCACAGCGAGGAGGTGTGGAATCATCTAGGAGAAGACAGCTGTGCTGGGCAGGCCCTGGACTCGGCAGCTTCTCAGCCCTGTACTGGCCACACACTTGGCCTTTCCCTCAGAGTGTGCAGTCCTGGCCACCAGGTACCATCTCTGGGGTCTCTACCTGCCCACAAGAGTAAGGACACAACAAGGCCTTCAGGGAAGGCTGTTATTGCCACACACAAAAAGCCACAATCAACTGTTTATGAAAGGAAAAAAGAGGGAGAGAGAGACAGAGAGGTGGCCTAGTAGAGAGAGCACATTACATCTGAAGGGCATGAGCTGGATCTCCATAGCAATGTGAATAAAGCTAAATAATGCATTATGAGTATTTTTTAAAAGCACATTATAAACCAAGGTAGAGTACAATGCTATTTAAGCAAATATTTATACCTTTATGGATAGATATGTGTGTGTGTATAGTGCGTTTGTATGAGCCAGCTTAGAATGACACACAACTCAGAACAGGGAGGAGAAGGGAACAGAGCAAAGCCTTACTTGAACTACATTTCCGTTTACGTGTAAAAAAGAAATATCTCCTTGGGCCTCTGGAGGCAGCATGGGTCACCAGCAGCTCTCCTGGAGCCGCCTGAGGAGACTGCTCTTCCCTGTGCTCCCACCAACAAAGTCTGATGGAGAAACACAGCCTCAAACTGAACCGCCAGTGTTCCCATCAGGATTTGAAGGATAGGGTTTCATCAGGTTGGGCTAAGTGACTTTCCACTCAGGAAGATTACACGGGCCATCCACTGGAAGGAAGAGGCCAGGCTAACTCTTCACATATAAAATAAGAAATGTAAACTTCTTAAAAAAATACCACCCCCCCCCAAAAAAAAGAACAGAAAGAAGAGAGAAAGAAGAAAGAAAGAAAGAAAGAAAGAAAGAAAGAAAGAAAGAAAGAAAGAAAGAAAGAAAGGAAAAGTAAAGAAAAGAAAGACCTAGCTGGAGCACAGTGTCGTAACTGCAGTCTGAGGCAGGAGGATCCCTTAAGCTCAGGAATTCCAGGATGGACAGGACAACATAGTGAGATCCTGTCTCAAAAAATAAAAACAAAATCAAAATCAAAAGCAACAAAAAAGTAAATACCTGAAGCAAGTCTGCAAAAAGGTACAATCTGCTAAATCTTAACAGTATATTCCTGGGTGTCATCTAATTTTGTATATTTTTAAATATCCCTTTCCTCTGTGTGTGTGTGTGTGTGTGTGAGTGAATCTAGGGATTGGACCTACTGAGTTAGAGCCCCAGTCCTTATTGATTTTTTAAATTTTGAGAAGACAGAGCTTCACTAAGGCACATTTCCCAGGCTGGACACTGACTTACAATCCTCCTGCCTCGGCCACTCAGAGAACTCAGATTACATGTGCCTGGCACCACACATGGGCTTTCTTCCTTAATTTAATTTTTTAAAAAATCAGCAAGTGCCCAACACATAAATAAAATCCCTATCTGGACTAGCATGACCTTACCCTTGGCAAGGGGGCTACAGTCACCTCCTACGCTGCCCACAGGAGCATCTAGAGCCGCCAACCCCAGCTGAGCCAGCGTGTCTCTCCCACTCTTGCTGCAAGGAGCCAGGGCTGAGAGCCCTAAAGGACCTCTTTTTTCCTTGCAGCCTCAGGTCCCCTCAGGTGCTGGGTGAAGCCACGGAGCTCACCTCTCATTGGGGACAGAGCCCCAGGCTGTCTTCTGGGGCCTGGTTGTGCGGCTCATGATAGCTTCAGGTATCTTCCCACATTCTCCAGGCCTGATGGCTCTGGGTCCCAGCACTCACCATGTGCGGCCCCCACAAAGGCAAAGCAGGACAGAAACCAAAGGAAGGCCATGGCGCTGCTGTCAGAGAAGGTGGTATCTGCCTGATTCAGGGCCCCTTTTATGTCCTCTAGAATCCTCTAAACCATGTAAAGGCCTGAGGGGGCACCTCCTTCTTATACAAGGACTTTGCACGATAAGTGGAGGCCAAGCTCCTCTCCCATCCTGGCTGGCTCTCAGCCTGGAACTTCCCAGCTCCTGGGAAAAGGACAGCTGCCCTCTGCTCATACCACCTGCAGCCTGGGGAATGCCAAGGGCAATGTCATGCTAGTCCAGGATCCAGGGCCCTACAGAAACAGAACATGCTTCCTGGTGAGGCACAGGTCTCCACTGTCTCCTGCATCTCAGAGAGGCCTCTCAGCCCTGAGTGTCTCTGTGTCCCAGTACAGGTTGGAGGAGGTGGCTGGATTCTCAGAGTATTCCAGTGTTGGCCCAGGACCACTGAATGTCAACTATAGGGGCTCAGCAAAGAAAAGTTCAATGAACACTCATCTAAAAGCAAATCATTGCTCAGGCAATCAGAATTACCCAGCGAGTCACCTTGTTCCAGCCAACCAACCAGTTTGAATGTGGGAGGGTGAAAGTGGTACAGCATATTTGGGTTTATTACAGGCAAAGCAACCAAGCAACACTCAGAGCAGTGGAGCAAACCAAGCTATTTTAAGCTGGTGGGCCCAGAGGTACTGTGTGCTCCAAAGTCTGAGCCCCAAGCTAGTAGGCTCTTGAGATGGCTTTTTATAGCTATAATGAAACACCTGAAGCAACCAATGTAAAATTTTGGCCCATGGTTTCATTTGTTTCATCCTATGGTTGCCTGGCCCAGTTCCTTGGAGCTTGTGCTAAGGTGCAGCATCATTGTGGGGCACTGGTGGCCCAGTAGAGCTGCTCATTTCAGGGGCTGTGGGATGCACCACTGAAACCACAGGGTCTCCAACCTGCAGCTCCTCCAACCTGTGCAGAGACATGCCTTCGGTAACCTCAATTCCTTCTTGAGGTCCCTCCTCCTACAGTTTCTTTTTTTTTTTTTGTCTTTTTTCATTTTTATCGGTACAAGGGATCAAACTCACAACTCCCTGCTTGGAAGGCAGGCGCTTATGCTGCTGAGCTAAATCCCCAGCCCCCCTTCTACAGTTTCTAACACCTCTCAATATAGAGCCACAGGCTGGTGAACAATCCTTTAGCACCAAGTTCTTGGAGATATCTTTCAGATTCAAACCATAGCATGGATATCTTGACTCCGTCTTAACCTACAGGAAGGGGTCACCAGGAGCTGCAGACAGCCATTGGTCTCACTTTACTTCCTCAAGTGGCCCTTCACTGATTGGTGGCTTGAAACACAAAGAGGCTGTGTTATCATGTAGCTCCAAGCAGCTCAGCAAAACATTACTGGGTTTTGTCTTGCTCTCGTCTCCTTCTGGAGTTGGATTCCAGGTTCCTCTCATCTCCAACAAAGAATTGAATGAAATCAAAAAGTGATGATGAAGTACTGTGGCTTGTGCTAAATGTCCCCGCAAAGCCTCATGCAGTCATAGGCGGGGCTTTTCAGAGGTGGCTGGATCTCTGGAGTGTGATGCTCAGAGTAAGGGTGTGATGCTGGGATTAATGCTGTGATGCTGGGGTTAAGGGCGCCCCTCTGTCTTACTTTACTCATTGCTGAGACAAAATACCTAATATCCAAAGTTCAGGAAGGAAAGGTTTATTTAGTGCACAGTTTGTGGAGGTTTCAGTTCAGAATCAGCTGGCTCCAAGACAGAGTAGCATGGCAGAGGGGCAATAATAGTTCATGGCGGCAGAAGACGGCAAAAGCAACCAAAAAAATGGAGCAGCAGGCCTCTTTTCCTCCCAATACTGTATGCAGGTTACCCACCCTAAGGTGGGTGTAGAACTCAGCTTCATTCCTAGCACTAGACAATGAACCAATCAGATACTCTAGATATAAATGCCTCCAAAAAGCCTGTCTCATGACCCCATGGGGTTTTGAGGGGATATCTAGATATAGACCATAATATCCACCCTGATTATGGTTGGCACCAATTAATAGCCAATAGAATGTATATCCGGGACCTGGCCAAGAGCCCCAGTCTCCCAAACGAGTGTACTATGAAGACTTAAATATGAGACAAGTGGTATGATTTTACAGCTCCAGGAGGATCAAAACCTTCTAGTAATTTTCAAGACTCTGGGGGCTGAGACAAGGATTTTCTCTGGACAGCCCATGTTTATTAGGTTTTCAAACAAAGAGAAGGGATACTGAGGAAAGTGTACAAACTGAGCAGGACGTTGGGAGTCGTTTCAAAGACTTTTCCAACCAGTAAATTATTCCGGTTTAGGAGAACCGTCTTCTCTCCATGATGACATTTATGGGAGCAGTGAGACGGCAGGACTGAGACACCGGCAGCTGAAGTCTCTGTCTGCTCAATTGGGGTTGGAGCACCTAATGATTATATTCTTTCTGGGGAACTGCTACACACACAACACATCTTAAACTTTTTTTACGTCTCCTTACTCCTCCCTCCCTCCGCTCCTGTTTCTTGATCCCCTGCCCATTTGGAAAAGATCCCCCTTCCTGCTTCCTACTATATCTTTTATTTTCCTCCTTTATTTATACCTTGGATTTCTTATATAAGAGAAACCATGTGATATTAAAGCTAGCGCATCTGATTTATTTTACCTAACGTTACGGCTGAGACAGGCTAAGTTGCCCAGGCTGGGCTTGACCTTGCAGTCAGTCCTCCTGCCTCAGTTTGCTGCATCTAACCATTTGGGTCCCGAGTCTCAGAAGATGCCACAGTCTTAACAGTACGAGTCCTGGAGGGAGCCGTGTCCAGTGCCCAGCTCCATGCCGGGCAGGCCTGCTGTTCTGCATAACCTCTCTCCAGACCTCACCCCAGGGAGTGGCTAGGCAGGGATGTGAATCTGGTCCCCTGTCCCTGCCTGGGTACAACTTGCCCTGTTGCCATTTCTTGTGCTGGGTGAGTCTCTCAGTTTATCAATGATTCACACGTTTCTGGCTGTGCTCTGGAGACTCAATCCCTTGTGAGCCCAGTCTCCAAATTCTCTGCATTTTAGAAGGAGCAGAAATCTTGTGAAGGTAACTTTCAGAATAGGAGAGAGAGGGAGGTCAGTTGCATACTACATGTGTTTTACCACGACTTAATTACTAATTGGGGGTGGGGGCTGCTTTTAGACATAGTCTCACTATGTAGTTCAGACTGACCCTGACCTCACTATGTAACCCAGGTTGCTTTGAACTCATAACAATACTCTTGCCTCAGCCTTCCAAGTGCAGGGATAATAGGCATGTGCCACCAGCAGAGCAAATTAAAGTTTTTTAAAAATCAAAACAAAATCTGTACCTGAGAAGGGCCGAGAACAGAAATTGCTCCTGGAAATGCACGAACTGCCAAAGGGCAAGGGACCTGCCCAGGGAGACAAATATTTTCTTTCTCTCTGGGCAGGTCCCGGTTTCAAGATGACCTGTACTGTTGAAAGGCCATGAGTAGGTCCAGAGGCCCAACTCTAGGGTTCTGCTGTGAACGGGCAGCTGGGCCCTGCAAGTCACTCTGTTCCAGTCCAAGTGATGGCCACAGAGCATGCTGGAGTCTTCTCTGAGCCTCCCTGGACTCTCTCAAGGCCATGGCAGTCAGCTCCCCAAACTGCTCCCTGCTTGACCTCACCGCCCAGGGGTTTCTCAACACCAAACAGCAAACAAATTCCATGTCCCCAGACCATGAGGGACAAGGCTGGGCTCAGAAGGAAGATGTGGAGAACAGCCCTGGGTCAAGGCCCTCGTTCAGCCTCACCTCTGCCCTTGGTCCTGGGCTCAGCTGCGGGCCACAGCTGCTGCCATCCCAGGTGCCTGCCCTCCCGTGGCTGCAGCTCCATGGGCTGCCTCTGGCTCCCCTGGGGCTGGGCCCTGATGGGCACTGCTGTTGGAAGGCACCTGGTGGGCAGAGGCAGGAAGGTTGCTCCTTTTGCTCCCGGTTCGGCCGAGCACAGTCACCGTCCCCTCTGAGCCAACATCTCCACAATAGTGACCTGGGAAGGACGGCACCCGGCCACATTCTCCTGCTCAGGTACAGAAGCCACCACAGAATTTGGAACCACCACTCCATTCTTGAGCCCCAAACCTAGCAGGGCTGAGGCTCCAGGAGAGGAGGCAGACACGCCTAGCTGTGCTGAGGCCTTGCACCCTGTGCAAGGGACAGGGAGGCCAAGTCTAGGGACAGGAAATCCTCTGAACAGTCAGCAATGACCTTGCAGGCAGCGGTGTCTTGGTACCCATTTCCACTCCTGCTCAATGAGCACATACTACATGCCAGGAACAGAACAAGCGCCTCCCCTGCTCATCTGTCCCTTGTCCTTATACCCACCCAAGAAGGCAACAACTGTGGGAGGACCATTTTCTGGATGAGGAAACTGAGTCTCTGAGCTCAGTGGCTGAGCCAGCCCAGCAGGGGGACCTGGGATCCAGGGTCACAGTCAAAGAGCCTGGTCTCCCTGCTGCCACCTCCTTCCATTTGTCCATGCTGAGGGGACAAGAGAGCGAGTCCTCTGCATCCCTGTGCCCAGCACATGTCACACTGAAGACTCCAGAGCTGGGCAGGAAGCAGGACCAACCTCTCAGAGGAGGGGGCAGGGGAGCTGTTCTGGGTGGGGGTGGGAGATGGCTGGGGAGAAGAGGTGGTACCTGGGGGCCCTGAAGTCAACCTTGGCTTCCACCCCTCCCTGCCTAGGATGTGGCGTCCCTGCTATTCACCCATGCTGAGTGGCCTGGCCTGGATCTTCAGTGGTGAGGACACTGTCCCTGGCTCCTGACCCTGGCAGGTACCCCTGAAGGTGACATGGGGACCTTAGGGTGCTGCCCAGGTAGCAACTGTGACCTTCTCCTCCTTCCTCTT